GAATAAACTTGCAACTCAACTAGAATTACACTAAAACAAGGAGTGATCAATTCAACTCAACAAGAAATAGTCCTAATTACTTGGTGTAATACATGGATCCATTTTAATTAATAATTCTATTAAAAGCCATGTCCTCAACAAATTCTAAAACAATCATGCTCTTTCTTACCACCACAAACCATGTCCTTCCTAGCCTTTTTCTTTTTCTTTTGGAACCCTCAAACTTGATCAAAATCACTCCTCTTTTATGCGCGCTAGTTGGTCTATGTTGCACATAGCTATACCATTTCAAATAGTTTTCCCTCATTTTTGTTTTCAATTGATAGTGCTTCTAACTCTCTTATTTAACACCATTCATCCATCTCAACATCAATTTAATACATTTTATTAACTCTTTATTTCTTCATTGATTGTAGTTATTGAGTTCTTTGTATTGTCTTGATATTTTTTCAATAATATTTACTCCTTATTTCTCAACAAAAAAAAAACACTCATTTCTTAGTAGTCTAATATTATGTACCACGCAACAAAGCAAGTCTCATAATAGTCATATAAGATTTTCCCTATTTAACTTAGCAAAAATACTATAATCACACAACACTCATGAGACACTTCAATTTCATCCATCTTGCACCAAGTCCATGGATCACATTTCCCTCAATGTCTCCAACTCTATGAAAAATTGCAATTTTAAATATATATATATATATATTTTATAACACGGGGTGTATCATATATTTAATTACAATTTTTGTAGTGCTTAGTTATGATCAATTGTGGTGTTTGTTATAACTTGGCCACTACTCATTATGATATTAGTTATGACTTATTATTGTTATTATTTTAAGGATGATAGAAGAGTTATTTGGTTATATTTCAAGTAATATTTGATTATGACTCATTTTAATATTGGTTATGATGTAGTTATGACTAATGGGGGATTTTTTTTAAGGTTCCTAGTATTAAAATTTTATAGTATAAAGGACATCCAATACTTTCATAATGTTTAAGATCTCTCAACATTGATCTAGAGAAAATTGCCAAATCCAGAGAAAATTTACAAGACTTCATTATTATTTAGATCTATTCACTATTTTCTCTTATTTACAAATCTCTTTAAGCTTTTAGTACTTTTTTCCCACAATTCATCTTTGATATCTTTACCACTGCCTTTGATGAATGTAGTGGTGGTCTGAGTGGTGGTTTCAAGCTAGAGAATATTGAGAAATTCTGGACTTTCCAAAGCCATAGAAAATTGAAATTTCTCTGAGTTCAAATTTTTGCAACCTACAACTCGAAAACTAGTACCAATTGTGGAGGTAAATACCAACATTATGACAATCTAATTCACAATCTTTTAAAAATGACTCACAAATAATACTGATCCTACTTTAATAACATGATTCTAACTTCTATCACTCAACAAAATGCATTTGAAAATTTTTCTTTTGTCCCCTTTTGTCACAGGATTCTAACATCACAGATAAAATTATTCAAGGCAGAAAAAATTGTGTTTTGACTTACCCAGAGAAAATTGATCAAACCAAAGAAAATTGCAATTCTCTCTTCTCTTCCAGAGAAATTCTAAACCAGAGAAATCCAAAGAAAATTGAACATCACAGAGAAAATTGTTTTTTTGACTCAACCAGAGAAAGTTGATCAAACCAGAGAAAATTGCAGTTCTCTCTTCTCTTCCAGGGAAAATTCAACATCACGGAGAAAATTGTTCAAGGCAGAGAAAATCAAACATGCTAGAAAAAATTGTGTTTTGACTCAACTAGAGAAAATTGATCAAACCAGAGAAAATTATAGTTCTCTCTTCTTTTTCAACTTCATTCCTCATCTTTCCCAAATTCTCTAGTTTGCTTATAATTATTGTTTCTGTTTTGCTTCTAAATAATAATTAAGCCTTGTGAATGCACCCTACAATAAATTACAGATTTATAGTGATTTAGTAAACTAAGGTTATGTTTGTCCCAAAAATAGTTCAACATCTAATACATTAATACAACCAACACATCGCTCATACAAAGCATATTGCATTTAACAACAACCCAAAACGAATTAGATCTGAGATGTCCAATGAACACAAAAATTGCTTCTAAAAACAAATAACAAAAAAGGGGATTGAGATTGAGAACCTTTGATACTTCATTGGTCATAATCTTTAAATCCAATTGGTTTTTGCCAAAACCATTGACTATTTCGCTGAAGAAAATGAAGAATACGGGCATAAAAGAGCCATGAACAATGGCTCCTAAGCTTCTGGAGATCATGAGAACCCAATCGTACTTGTCAACGAATGATAAGAGCTAATAAAAGGGTAAGCTCTGCTTCTTCTTCTTCTCTGCCTCTGGCATTGGTTTCGCTGCCTCTGTATTCTCTGTCATTTTCGCCACCGACTGATCGAAGTAGATACAACCAACTCTGTATTGGGTCTAGTTTAATGGGCGATCTTTGTTTCTGGGTTTCTCACCATCAGAGGAGAGCTATGTAAGGTCGAGAAGATACAGAGCAATAAAAACAGAGAAAGAAAAAGAAAAGGCAGAGAGAGAGAGAGAGAGAAAAAGAGAAAGAGATGGACAAACGTGATATATGGGTGTCAGGGGTTGAGGGATCTTAGACATCATAAAATAATATTGTGGATCTCTTTCATTACTAAAAATGAGAGAAGGACCTTACACTAATTTTTCCTATGACTTATTGTGGTATTAGTTATAATCTATTGTGATTATTATTTTAATTATGGTTGAAGGTCTTTCATTATGACTATTTGTTATAATTGTGACTAAAAGTGATTTAATTATGACATTTGTGATATCAATATTATAAATTGTAATGATTTAAAGGGATTGGACCCTCTCTAGTTCGGTGTTCCAACTAGACGATCCAGTCTAGTTTATTTTGGACTCGTGTTAGGTCTGTTTTAATGATTCAAATGTTCAATGTATAGAAATCGTTGAGTACTTTATCTCTATAAAAAAAAATCACGTTGAACGGATATCAATAGCCACTTGATCATATCACATTTGCGTTAGTAATTTATTTTTAAAATCATACTTAATGTTGACACAAATTTGATCTGATCAAGTGGTTATCAACAATTGATCAGCGTGATTTTTTTGCAAGGGTAAAATACTCGATGAGCTCTATATATTGAACGATTCAGATTATCGATGTGCATTTTGTGATGGGCCTACAGAGGCCAAATAGTACGTTTCAATCCAATTTTAGATTGAAGATAAGCCACTGCCTAATTTAAATATGGTACATATCCCAAAAAAGGGTGTGCATTATAGAAGGATCCATCTATTTTATTACCACAATAGGTAATAAAATACTAATATTCTACAGGCTGTGGTAGGAGAGTGAAACTGTTGGAAGGAAAATAATTACTATTAGATTAGTGTCGATAGAATGGGGTCATTATAAACCTCTACCATATAGCATAGTGGTATGTTATGGTCCCACATCGGATAATATAAACTTTAGTCAATATATATATAAGTTTTTTAGACATCTTACAAGTTAATTTTTAAAAGTGAGTTCTGTCCAAAAAAAAATTATATTCACTTTTTCCTTCAAATATGTATATATAAATTAATGGAGTAGATTTGGAAAAAAAATTACTTGTAAATTTAAGTTGAAGAGTGTGTTAGGTGTTAAGTTCAATGATTAATCTTATTTAGTGGAAAGGACATGCGTTTAAAAATTGTCAGTGCCTGAAAATTGGCCATAAAAGTCGCAAGAAAGTTGTCGTTAGTCGGCGGATGGTGACCAATAACGGCAATAACTGGTGGCAGTGAATTGAGCAGATAAGTAAATAAATAAGTGACACGTGTACAAATAGTGGAATATTTGAATAGATAATTGCACAAATAGGTGACATGTGTACACATTTGAACATATAGTTTTGACAGATAAATGACACGTGTATATATGTGTATGTTTGAATAGATAAATGACAATTGAACAGATAGATAGAGAATTTAGCTTTTGAACAGATAACATGTCCTTTCAGCTAAAAAATATTTAAGTTTGGGTAACCCAGTAGTTTCAGAAATAGATATCTACCCTAAATGCCCATTTGGAAATTATATATATTTTTAATTTTAGAATTAGGCTTAAATTGACTGTAAAAGTCTAATATTCAAGCCAACCAAATTTTGACATTTTGGTGGAGTTTTTAAAAGCTAAAAGTTAATAATCAATCAAAAATAAGAAGTTAAAAGTATTTATTTTTTAGTTTCCAAATAATCAATTTTTTTTGGCTATTTTTACCTAATAAGTTATAAACAAAACTATATCAAACAATCTGACACAGACTCTCAAATTAAAAAGTTATAATAATTCCTTAAAATGGGTGTTTGGCAAGTTATTTTTTTTCCCTTTTTTGGCTAAAATAACCGATAAAGATTAAGGCCAAGTTTGGGATGTTCCCAAAAAGTCAAAAAGTCAAAAAGTTACTCAAAAAGTTAAAAAGTTAACACTATTCACCAAAAGTCAACAATTACGGCTGCACAACTCCCAATCCTAATTTTCCCCTACAAACCAATTTTTACAATTTTTTATTTACAATTTTTTATTACACATTTTTCAATAAAAAGTCAAAAAGTTAACCCAAACATCCATATTTTCAACCTCAATTTTTTAGTCCAAAAAGACAAAAAGTACACTTATTTAGTCTTCCCAAACTTGGCCTAAATATGCTAAAATAGTTAATAAAATAAAGTGTCGCATCCGAACTATAATTATTTTACTTTTTTCTCACAACCATCAAATCAACTACAAAAAAAAAAATAACTAACTTTCCAAATATAATTTTTTTAGTCAAACTAAAATAATCAAAAATAAAAAAACTAACTAAAATAGCTAACATTCTAAACAAGCCCAAAAACTATAACAAACAATCTCTAAATACTGATAAATCCGGCCCGGCCCGGCCCACCCTCCATTGGCATTCTAGATGTTTCCATGTAATCACAGAACCCAAATACACACTACAATTACAGATATCAATCTGATACGAGGGGGAAATGAAAATTCGAGGAATTTAGGGCACTCCCGCTGCTTCCCATTTTTCACATTTTCGGTTCCCGCTGCTCCTCTCTCTCTCTCTATACACATATGATAATTCCCTCCACCCCTCTCTCTCTCTCTCCTCTCTCTTGAACCAGGTTCTCTTTCTTCTACACCATAACTGTTAACTTCAACTCTTTAACTGTCTCTCTCAAACAAGCACAAGCACAATCACAAGATATACATTTTTATGTACGTAGATAGTCGTTATGCCAAGAATATCAGTATTCGTTTTCGTTTTCAATTTATGAATAATAATTTGCTTATTAGTCGCTGTTTTAGTTCTGTATCTAGGTTTTATGTGTTGTTTGTTTCGTTAATTCGATATACTTATGGTCATGTAGGTAATCAATTTGTCTATGTTTTGCTACGCTTGTTCTGTTTCATGTGTTTGTTTGAGTTCTAGGGTTTTTCTTTGGTATTGTGATTTCCTTATTGGGCATTAACATAATTTAGTTTTTTTTTTTTTTTTGGTAATATACTTTATTGTTGTATCTTGTTTTGATTGGTTTTTGTTTATTGCTTAAGGGGGATTTTTGTAGTCTGGAGGTTTGTTTGGTTGCTGAGGGAATATAGGAATAGAAAGTGCATTCGATTTTGAATTCTATGGCTTGGTTTTATTTTAGTTTTTAAATTCTTAAACTTGAAAGCCACAGCTCGAGTAAGCCACATTTAGTTTGTCTAGGATATGTTCGGTGACTTTGTTGGTTTTTTTTTTTTTTTTTAAATGAAAATAGGAAGCAAAAATATTTTTGGGAATTGTTTTCATTTTTTCATTTCCCAAAAAAAAAAAAAAAAGGTGTAACAGTTTTCAAAATTTGAGGATTGAAAAGAAAAAGTGTTTCACTTGTTTTAAAAATAAGTTTTCATTTCTTCCTATCCTATGCCATCCCACTTTCTTGCCACCACCTCCGGCCAACCATGTTATTTGTCTTCTTTTTTTAACAAAAAATAACTAAATGCTATGTTAGTTTTTTTTGGATGTTTTGTTTTGTTAGATTCAATAAACTTTATCTTCTTTTTTTTTTAATCCTTAGTTAAGGGTTTTTCTTTTACTCTTATTTTATTTTGCAATTGGTAGGAAGGGGTTGGGGAAGGAGAAACTTTATCTTTTTTTTTCTTTTATTTTTTGCTAAGGGTTTTTCTTTTACTCTTATTTTATTTTACAATTGGTAGGAAGGGGTTGGGGAAGGAGAAACTGCATAGTGCAGTTGTAAGATTCAAACTTAGTTACCATGCCTAGTAAGGGAGCATCTCAACCACCAAGCCAACCCTTTTTCTTGAAGTAATTTGGCTTAAAGCCTATGTCCACAATAGAAGGCAATTAAAACGATTCATTATAGAGAAGAAGTTGATATAACATGGGTACACTCTTGCAAGCCCAGCTTGCTTTTCACTATAAGTTCTTTCTCATTACAACCAGCAAATTGGCCTTAACAAATTATATATTAGAATCTAGAAACAAGAGGGGGGCAAAACCCCTTAAAATTTGGGTGGTCCATTGGAGTTTGAATTCATGACACTGACATCACATGTTTGCATTATAAGGACTTTTTGAAAATAAAATAAAATAAATTGGACTTTCAACTTTCTTGTTGTTGGTGGCCATTGGCAAAATAGGCAAAATCATGAGTCAATATAATATATGGTAGGTACGAGATGGCACAAGACCGCGAAGAGTAGGGAGGAAGAGAGTTGAGAAGTAAAGAGGCTGGGGGAGAAATCTCAGTTAATCGAAGGCAGAGTGATGGCATGATTTATTAGTATGCTTGTTGGGCTCGTCTTTCAATAAAGTATGCTAATGGGGTGAGATGATGTATTAATGGCAGAAGAGAGCTCCGCATACATAAAGGTAGTTTGGGGATGGGTATGCATCCCATGTGTGTGCCTAACAAGATAAAACATTGATAAAAGATGTATGGGGTTGTACTACAAAAGTATGAGAAACGTGGAGTGTGCCTGCATGACTTCACATGTCTAGAGTAATTTTGAAATGGTGAGCCAATCAATTTTGATGCCCTCAATTTTAGTTGTCAATTCATAAGTCCTTGGTGATTTCATTAGTGGGTCATGGGCAGCTCAAGATGCTATATATCATGGTATCCACCCCAAAAGGGAATCAAGATGCAATTTGGAGAACTCTGGTGATGCATGGCTAGGGGTGGAGAGCTCAACTCTACTGAGCCAATAGAGGAGGTCGAGCTAGGTCTTCAGAGATCTTGCTTCTTAAAGATATCCACTGGACGCATAGGTGTAACATGCCTTGTCTGAGAATCACTCGGCTGAACCAAGGGGGTATTAAACATGTTGCTACTGAGTGGGTTGGGAGTGACTGAGCAAAGAATCATTGGCCCAACCAAGTGGTTGCCATGGCCAACCCTTGGGGATATCTCAGGATGTCCCATGCCTTGTTTGAGTAGACATACAACTAAAGAGTGTAGTGGGCTCGTTCCTTGGCACCATTGCTTGAGTCTTGGACATTAAGTGCACTAGGTATCCATGATGATGATGTGTCATCAATTAGGCCTATCATGTGGTAGCTAGATACAAGTACTCACACCCGTGATGCATAATTGTATCATAAATGTAGAATTAGATTTTAAGGAAATAGTTTTATTTTCCTTTTCCTTTTCCTTTCCCTTCCTTTTCCATTTTAAGGAAATAGTTTTATTTTCCTTTTCCTCTTCCTTTTACTTTCCCTTCCTTTTCCATTTTAAGGAAATAGTTTTATTTTCCTTTTCCTTTCCCTGCTTTTTCCTTTCCTATCCTAATATAGAATTAGATTTTAAGGAAATAGTTTTATTTTCCTTTTCCTTTTCCTTTCCCTTCCCTTCCTTTCCTATCCTAATGTAGAATTAGATTTTAAGGAAATAGTTTTATTTTCCTTTTCCTTTCCTATCCTGTCCAATCCAATCCATCAAATGCAGGCTAGTTTTGGATGTACTTGGTTTGCTCATAACAATATCCTTCAATTTTCACATAAGGTCTTGTGAGTTTGTGCTTTAATCTCATTGTTGTTTGAAATTGAAATGTTATCGGTTCTACGTATTCTTGTTTCTTGTTTACAAGCGTGGGTATTGTGTACACTTGTTTTGTGATAATAAGTTGACTAGAATGGCATGTTTGTGTGATCCTTTTAGCTTTTGTACTTTAACTTCTTTTATCTTTTCTATGTCTATTGTATACATAATTTTTCTGATTGATGATGTGTTCATTTCTCATTGCAGGCTTGGGATCTAATTATAAGTTTCTGGGATCTTTTGGGTTGATATTTGGTTATATGTATTATGAGAGCTTGTTCAAAGCTTCTAGCTGTGAAGTCAAGTACTCCTTGTCCCATTTGTGTATTGGTTCTCCCTAGCTGCTTCTGAACATTTCTTAATGGTATTTACTAGAACTATTGGTGATCTTGTTCTTTATTTTAATTTTTAATGTTAAGTTCAAAGTTCAAAGATAATATCACTGACTGCCTGATATTTTTCTTTATTTGATACCTGTCGTCAAGTACTTAATAATTGGAGAGTAGTATTGTTGTAATATGTGTTGTTTGTGTGGATGCAGAGTGTAGATTTTGGGTGATTTGTGGATTCAGGAGATTTTTGGAAAGCTTTGTGCTTTTCCTGTATCTCAAATTAAGCACGAAAATGACAAGTTGCATTTTTTTTCTTATGCATTCTAGGTGAGACTCTGAGTTAGTACCTGGATTTTATTTCACATGGAATGCAACAAAGATGAAGCCATCAGGGCTAAGGAAGTTGCAGAGAAGAAGATGCACAATGATGAGTTTGAAGGAGCTCGGAAGTTTGCGCAAAAGGCCCAGCGACTTTTCCCAGAACTTGAGAATATTTCCCAGCTGTTAACGGTCTGTAATGTTCACTGTTCAGCCCAAAACAAAATATGTGGGACCGAGATGGACTGGTATGGAATCCTTCAAATGGAAAGATTTTCTGATGAGGCAAACATCAAGAAGCAATACCGGAAACTAGCACTCGTACTTCATCCTGATAAAAACCAATTTCCTGGTGCTGAAGCTGCTTTTAAGCTGATTGGGGAAGCAAATATGGTGCTTTCAGACAAAGGAAAACGTTCATTGTATGATAGCAAGTGTAGATTTTCAATGAGAACTGCTGCAACAAATCCACCATCCCGTCAGGTAAATAAAATACCTGGTGATAGGAAACAACACGTGCCAACCCAGACAAGTCTTTCAAATGGCCGGCAAGCATTTTGGACATCCTGCCCGTTTTGTAATATGAGGTATCAGTATTACAGAGATTTTGTTAACAGGGCTCTCCGCTGTCAAAATTGCGCGAAGCCTTTTATTGCCTATGATTTAGGTGCTCAAAATGTTCCCCCAGTATCCAGCAATTCTCAGCCTGCATTTCCGCAACAGAAACAGGCTCAAAGTCAGGAGCAGTTTAAAGTGGGATCACAAAGTACTGGTGGTTTTCCTCCTCCCCACATGGGACATCAGGGAAGTTTTAGCAATAAAACAGTGGGGTCAGAACCAGTGTCAAGGACAGGAAGCACTGCTGATGTTGGTGGGGGTTCTAAAATTAATGTAGAAAAAGATGGACATGCACGTAAAGTGGATGGGAAGGAAGGAGTTGGATTAGCCAAGGTTGATACAGTGAAGCCCAAGAAGTCAGGCACTTCGAGAAACCCAACCAGAAAAAGAGGGCGGAAATTGGTGGTGGAATCCAGTGAAAGTTGTGATGCTGCAACTAGTGCTGACACAGAAGATGTGATCATTCAAGAAAATGGCGACAGTTCTGCTGGGCAGAATTCTGGACTCAATGGTATCCCCCATACTCGTAGATCTTTTCGAAGAAGGCAGAATGTTTCCTACAATGAACGTTTAAATGATGATGACGACTTTGCGAGCCCTCCAAAGAGGTCAAAGGGAAACGGATTATCCTCCAAAGACAATAAAGAAGAGCTGAAAGAAGCTTTCAACAATGGGGTAGCTAAAACTGATAATTCAGCTGGCTTTGCTGCTGCTGCAGATAGAGAAAAGGAAGATATCAAACGAAAAGGAAATGCCCATCTTAAAGGAAGCTTGCCGAATGGAAGCGGTGAAGCTGCAGAACATGGGGTTAATAGAGAAGAAGCTGCCATGGCAGATTGCAATGCTAAAACATCTGAAGTCATTGATGATTCTGATTGTGCCCCAAATCCAGAGTACTATGAATGCCCTGATTCAGAGTTCAATGATTTTGACAAGGATAAAGAAGATACTTGTTTTGCTGTTGATCAAATCTGGGCTTGTTATGATCCAACCGATGGCATGCCAAGATTCTATGCCCGTGTCAGGAAAGTATTTTCGCCTGGATTTAGGTTGCGAATCACTTGGCTAGAGCCTGATCCAGAGGAACAAGATGAGATTAATTGGGTCAATGAAGATTTGCCTATTGCTTGTGGCAAATTTTTTCATGGGAACCCTGAAAATATTGTGGATCGTCTTATTTTCTCTCATCAGGTTCATTGTGAAAAAGGTAGTAGTAGAGGTTCTTTCATGGTATATCCCAGAAAAGGAGAAACTTGGGCTCTCTTCAAGGACTGGGATGTTAGCTGGAGTTCTGACGCAGAAAATCATAAAAACTATAAATTTGAAATTATGGAGATCATCTCTGATTTTGTTGAGGGTTATGGCGTAAGGGTTGCTTACTTGGATAAAGTGAAAGGCTTTGTCAGTTTGTTTCAACCAACAACCCGGGAGGGGATTGTCTCATTTCTGATACCACCTACTGAGTTACTTAGGTTTTCCCATCGAATTCCTTCATTTAAAATGACTGGCACAGAAAGAGAGGGTGTCCCTAAAGGGTCTTTTGAACTAGATCCTGCTTCACTGCCTATTAAGTTTGATGAGTGTGGCGATGTGAAGATGGAGGCATCTCCAGAAAAAGGTGTCAAATTCATGAAGAGTGCTGAGAAGTTGAACACTCCAAAGAAGGATGTTGGCTTTGAATGGGAGAATGATCTTGAAAAAGAGAAATTTAAACTTCGAAGATCCCCGAGGGATTTAAGCAAAGATAAGAAATACAATCAAATGAATGCTAGTCAATGCCCTATTAAAGAGGGAACTGCCAAGGATGATTTAGACAGTGCTGACAAGAAACATGTTGACCTTACTCCTTCTAAAGGAAGAGCTCCATGTAATGGGGATGAGAAACTAAATTTGCCCATGAATGAATCAAGTCCCCAGAGTTTCGCAAAATGCCCTAGCGTTCCTCCATCTTTTTCTCCGGGTGGCAAAATTTTAGAAGAGTTTCACAATTTTAAAGAGGACAAATCTGAAGGGAAGTTTCAGCTTGGTCAAATATGGGCTCTGTATAACATTGACAGTAACGATAGGTTGCCTACGAGCTATGCTCAGATTAAGAAGATTGGATCTTGTCCATTCCAATTGCATGTGGCAATGCTTGAACCATGCACTCACTTTACAGATAGAATGCAGGCTGTTTGTTGTGGAACATTCAAAGTTCAAACAGGAAAGCCCAGGATCTTTTCACCCAGTTCCTTTTCGCATGCATTAAAAGAAGATTTCATTGGTAAAAACAGATTTGACATCTATCCCAGGGAAGGGGAGATTTGGGCATTATACAAGGATTGGAATGCTAATATGTCATGTTCAGATCTAAAGGATTGCAAATATGAATTGGTGGAAGTTCTTGAAGATAATGAGCACTGCACAAAAGTTTCACCTCTGATTCGTCTGAATGGTTACAAGTCAGTTTTTAAGGCTCCAAGAAGACAAAGGTCAGGTAGTGGTGCCATGGAGATACCCCGAGTTGAGTTAGCAAGATTCTCTCATCAAATCCCTTCTTTTAAACTCACAGAAGAGAAAGATGGGCGCCTGAAAGGCTTTTGGGAGCTTGATCCTGATGCAATTCCAGGTAATCTGTTTTGTGTAAGTTAAGGTTATGTTTGGATGTTGGATATAGATAGGGATTTGTGGATAGAAAGGAAAACAGAGGGAAAGGTGAACAAAAGAGAAGCAATTTTTTTTCACATTTCCCTAATTCAAATCTCCGTCATTAATTAAATATAAAGTATTGCGTGATGGGGTTGTTACACTTAGGGGCCTCACACATATTATGATATTAATTTCTTTATTATTTATTTTTATACTTACTAATTTGAATTGTACACGCATTGCGTGTGCCACCTACTAATATATATATATATAAACATACTAAAAAAAAGTTAACATTTTATAAAAATAATAATATCTATCACTACTATTATATAAATGTATTATCTATAATTAGCTATTATTTATATATAAATAAATTTAGCTATTATTTACATTTATATTATTTAAATATATAAATAACATATTTATCTTATTTTTATACATATTTTTACATTGTTTAATATATAAATAATATATTTATTCTATTATTTAAATAAATGTTAAACAAGCTAGCTAACGAGTTGAGTTTTAATATGGGTTTGTTTATTAAGATTTTGACGAGCTCGAGCTCGAGCTTGAACGTAATAAAAATTTAACGATCCAAGTTCGAATGAGCCCTTACTGAGCCGAGCTCAAGCCTGTTCAGGAACAACTCGGTTCATTTGCGGCTCTAATCCAAATCCAATCTAATTTGTAGGATGGTGAGACATGACCCCGAAATAGGGAATGGATTTAGCAGAAGCTTCTAAACAGCGATCTATTTTCATTTTCATTTTGAGCTATTACTGGTCTTCAACTGTTATCATTATCTTTTTTCAGATTTTAGCAGCTGATTTACTGGAAAGACTCCTCTTCAGTTGAGCACTCGTTCAGATTGGCCTTGTAAGTGATGGATGAAGATGTGGCTCACAATTCGGCCAACGTAACCATTTTGAAACCTATTTTGTGCGTTGGAACTGTCACTGACAAATCTTTGGAGTAATTATAACCTTCTTTTAACTGCAATATTTACTTTTAGTAGATATATTATTTTGAAGCTTGAATATAGTTTGAAATGCATTTCCTCCAATTAGTGTTTGTTTGAATGAGGATTATTTGTGAGACTTGGTATCTTCATTTTTATTTTTTGCATAGGAGGATACTAATTTTGGGCAGTCACAAAATGAACTAGAGCCTTATATAGCAGTCAATTGACTGTTTAAAATTTGCATCTTGTGAAATGTTGAATACTTATCTTGGTGTTTTCACTAATCATTTTCTATTATATGGCAGTAAATTGACTGTTTAAAATTTTCATATTGTGAAATGTTGATATTGGCATTTTCACTAATCATTTTCCAGGATCAGCTTGATCAAGTTGTTTATGGAAGTGGCATACCATTTGTCTCGCTTTGCTTTATATTTAATGAAGTCGTGTTGCTTGATTAACATATATGGCAATAATTCTTCCTTGTGATATTTACCTTGGGATCTGATGGATTGTATTAATTAATGTTTTCTTGAGATAAATTCATTCTCTATCATTTTGATGATTGCCATGCTTATGAAACTAGTCAGAAGTTCTGCACAAAGAAGAGTCTCTCTTCATATTTGTTTCTCCTTGTGGGCCAATATATATATTTATATATTTGTCATCTGTTCTTGTACTCAATAGGAAGATCAGTTCCTAGCATGACTCATAAAAAAGAAAATGTTTACTAGGATAAAATTATTGATATTGGCTTACACGTAGTTGGACACGATGTCTGATATTTAAAAGAACTCTGCATTGGTGTTCTGGAAACAGGACTCAAGTGCTAGCACAGGATTGGGAGTGTTGCCATACCCAGTCTAGATTCCTTCTTACTTTGTTGAATAACTTCACACATTATATGACCGGTTACGATTGGTCAGGGCCCAATTTAACGTAGTGATTTGAATTCACAAATGGATGACTACTGCAAAATGCTAGGATTTTGCTACAGAGATGCTAATAACATTTTTAATGAAGATGTTAAGATTGTGTTATATAACAAAATGTGATAAAAGTTGAGCCTAATTTTGTGTGTTCATTTTTGTTTGTTTAGTGAGTGAATGAGCATATTATTAAAGTGTGTTAAGATCTTTTTTATTTTTAAGTCGTCACATATGGCCCTCCCTTTTCCTGTCACCCATTAGTTTAGTAGTTGTTACAGTTAGCGATTGCTTTGACATCTGACACTAATTTTGGCAGCTAATCCAAACACAAACATTTCTAATGGAGCAACTGAAAAGCCTTCCTCTTCCTCTTCCTCTTCCTCTTATGCTAACACACACAAGCACCTCTATTGTGGGTGCTGTAATACATACATGTAGTAAAGTAGCTGAACCATTGTCAATCCACTTCCTCCACCATGTGTCCTTGTAAATCGAAAGAAAAGAGTGTTTATTTTCCGTTTTTCTTTGTTCAATTATTCTCTTGAGATACTAAGGCCTTGTTTGGTTTGATTTTAGGAGATAAGTTTTCAAAAAATATTTTAGAAAGAGAGTTTAGAAATTTTTGTAGTTTGGCACTGTTTGGGAAGCCGAAAATGAGGTTATTATAGCCTCATTTGAGAAAAAAGCCCAAAAGCAACATTGTTCATAGGTTTTCAAAAAAAAAAATATATATATATATATAGGCTGTTGCCCGAACAGTGTAGGCTGTGCCTACACTGTCATAGCCTCAAAATGTTACATCAACGGTTAAATTATCATTTTGCCCCTTTATATCAATTTTAAAAATTATAATTTTAGAGATAAATTTGTCATTTTAAATTTAAATATCATTTCAACATATTTTTCAATACAACAACTCAAATAAAATCTATCTCATCTTTCCAAACACAAAAATTGAAATAGCCTACTAAAATAGTCAAAAAGTCAAATAATTTACTAAAATAGCCACTTCCCAAATGAGGCCTTTGTTTAGTTGTATATTTTGAAAATAGTTTTGGAGTTTGGGATAATTTGATATTTTGTTGTAATTGAATAGATGTATATGAGAGAAAAAAGTGATTGATTGATATGTAGGAAAGGGAAAGTGATTTTAAAAAATTTTTGAGAAAAATTACAAATCAAACAAAATTTCTAAATTTTTTTTTCAAATTTTTTTTTTCAAAGCCAAACCAAACGAGGCGTAAATGTTAAGAGAATAAAAGTAGTAAACTGGATGAGTGATTAAAGTTGTGCACTACCTCTTCATTTTCTACATTAATTCATGGTTCAATAGAGGTGATGGTGCAGAGGATGAAGATAATTCATTCTATTTAGTTTTATAGTCTTAAAAATAATTTTTGACTTTTTTAATTCTTTTTGTTTGTAGTAAACTTTTTTTTTTTTAAGCATTTAAAAAAAAAAAACCTTTTTAGATACACTGAAAAATTAAAATATTTGTTATTTGGGTATTTATTTATAAATCTATCTTTACTTGCTTATATTTTACTTAGTTTAAATTATTTTTTATGTTCTAATAATTTTTATGGGTGACATAGTTATTAAAATATCTTTAATAATAATAAGATAGAGTGCGTATTAATGTTTACATTGATAGTGAATGTTTTATGATGTGAACATTTATACTGTTAATATGAAAATTCACATTGTTAAATTTATTTAATGTAAATGTTTACATCCCCAAATTGGTATGGATTTAAAAATATTTGTAAGGGTAAAATTGTTCATAAAATACTTTAAATATGATAATTTTAATTTTGTGGAACAAATGTTCAAAATAATAAGATTTATTGGAATATAAGAATATTTTATGGACTAATAGAAATTTTGAAAGAGAATTTTTTAATAAATTCCCTTTTAAAGAAAATCACAAAAAAACAAAAAAAGTATAAATAAATATTTAGTATATTTTTGGTATTTTGTTTTGCATTTATTATTTTTTATATTTATTGAGATACATTTTTTAAAAAATTATTTAAAATATTTTAAAAATTTACTAAAAATAAAATACAAAAAACACACCCAAAAAAAAAAAAATCAAAAACTGTGTGAAATGACAAAAACAGATATAAACATCAACTCAAACCATTGATTAATAGGGTGTTTAGCGTGAATTATAAGGGATAATTATAGTTTATTTTAATTTGAAAATTTGTACCAGATTGTTTGGTGTAATTTTTACTTATAACTTTTTAGACAGAAATAATTTAAATAAATTAAAAAAACTAATTATTTAAAATTTAGAAAAAAATATTTTTAATTTATACTTTTTAGTTATTAATTTTTAACCTATAATAAAAACTAATTATTTAAAATTTAGAAAAAAAATATTTTTAATTTATACTTTTTAGTTATTAATTTTTAACCTATAATAAGTTGTACCAAGCCGCACTTAGCATTCCAAACATGTGCAGGCGTAGATTTTTTGGCCCTTTTATTGGGTTACGTTATTCGAATAATGCTTGGGACCCCCTTTTGGGGGTCACCCACTCACCCCCTCTTTGCCACGTGGCGAGTGTTGATTGGAGGAGTAGAAAAAAAAAGAAAAAGAAAAAGAAAAAAAAATTGTAACCAATGAGAGAGAGGGGGGGTCAAAGGGGGTGGGGGAAAACGGGGGATGAATCATTATTGATGTTATTCAATGCTATTAATTTCAAAAGGTAGTGGCTTTGGTCCAGTCTGAGATCGGATTGAATCGTGTTATTGGATTTGTGGGGGCCACCACGGGTTCCGTTTTGATAATTCGAACCGTTCAATGTGTAAAACTTGTCGAGTACTATATGCCTCTAAAAAATCACGTTGATCAGATATCGATAGCTATGTGAACAAAACAGTGTTTTATCAACCGTTAATTTTTTCACCGTCTATTTTTTTTTATACATAACTGATTTGATCACATAACTATTGATATCCAATCAACGTGATTTTTACAAATGTATATTACTCGACAAATTCTACACATTGAACGGTTCAGATTATCAAAACGGACCCTAATAATGGACCCCATGGACCGAACTAGACAGGTCATCTTGATCTCAACTTGAGACAAGCTGGACCCATTTCAAAAAGGGCTTTTCTTTCAAGTATTGGAAGTTTATAGGAAAACTATTAATTATGGATATGCTGTCTCAATCAGGCCTTCTTTGATGCTTTGCAACGAAAGTATGTGATTAGATTTGCATGGTGTTTTATTGTAAAAATATGTTTAGCATATAACATAATTTTGTGTAACCAGTTATGTGTGATTAGAGGTGTAAAAATGATCTGAAACTTGTGGGCGGTTTAGTGGCTCAAAGTAGGCCGGTCCAATTAGGCCCAGGTTCAAACTCAAGATTCTGGGTTCATTTTGAAGTTCAGCCCTATCCATCCGGCCCCTCCCTCATTGGCAAATTGATTGTCTGCCATTGACAATAGTCAAATTTCAAAAAAATAAAAAATAAAAAATAAAAAAAAAACTGTTAAAAAAATAAAAAAATAAAAAATCTTTTCATTGCACAGGACTGATGCCTGCACTGCTTGCCCTGCCCATGCTATTGCTTGCAATGGCAATGATTCAAATTTCAATGAATGAAAAAAAAAAAAAAAATTAACTCTCCGTTTGGTAAGTCTCTCAAATTATAGTTTTACTCATTGATTGAGTGTAGTGTTTGTTCTGAGCTTTCAAATCATAATTCTACACTCATTTCTTAAAACTCAATTCAAAACATAATCGTTATTTTTCAAAACTCATAACCAAACACATAATTCAAAACTCAATTCAAATCAATATTTTAATTTTGTAAATATTTTAAAAATATTTTAATTTTGTTAATATGTTATGATTTTTTTAATTTTTTGAATATTTTTAAATATTACGATTTTAATTTTTTAAATTTTAAAATATTTTATAAAAATAAATTCAAACTCTATTTTATAAAAATATTTTTAAATATTTTAATTTTTTTGTTATGTATTTGGTTACGATTTGAGTGTAGAGTTGTGAAAGTAGTATGGAGTTTCGAGTTATGTGTTTGGTTATGAGTTTTAAAAATAATTTTTTAATTGAATTTTGTTTTATGTGTTTGGTTACGATTTGAGTGTAGAGTTATTTTTAAATTTAAAATATTAAAATTTTAAATTATTTTAATTTTTTAAATATTTAAATTATTTAAATTTTTACGATTTAAAATTTTTGAATATTTATTTTAATTTTTTACTTATTAAATTTTTTAGATTATTTAAATTATTTAAATATTTATGATTTAAATTTTTTGAATATTTATTTTTGAAAAAACTTTATTTCATTTGTAGTATTTTCAATTAAAAAATTGATTAATGCTATTT